CCCCAGCAAGAAGAATGGAGAGGCTTTTAGTTGCAAAGTCTTCTCCTCTTACGTGTGGCCTGACTTTGACATGTACTTGAGGACAAAGTGGATGGAAAAGCATGTTGCTAAGAAACTCTGCCAAACTGTGTTTGATATGGAAGCATGCTGGGAACATTCAGAGGGGCTATTCCCCCTCCACATGGTGAATCACTGGGTTCTGGGACATGTGGACTTTGTCAAATGCCACATCATTATATATGACTCACTGTGTTGCCATTGGAGGTTGGCTGTTATGGTGCATCCTCATGGTTATCTCACATAGCCAGTACTCATTTGACATGCAGATGATAAAGTGTATGGTGATGGCAATTGCTGAGGAATCTTCCCAGGACTGGCCTGGGTGCTTATGGGTAGGCTGGGAAGCACATGCAGCCTTGGTATGTGTGTTCACCCCCCTGGGGCAGAGAATATTGTTAAATATGATCTAGGTCCCAGAACAACAGAATGGCCATGATTGTGGGTTGTGGGTGCTAACCCAGATAATGGCAGTCATGCGGGGTGTTGACCAGACATTCATGACTGATGCAGAGATGTCACAGTTCTGTCACTGGTTACATGACAACATGGAGAGTTTGCCATATGCACTCGTAGCACCACGTGCACCAGCAAAAGAGGAGAGTGCACCCTTGGACTTGAACGAGACCGTGTTAGAGTTGGTGGACTCGGACAAGGCCATGGATCTCAATTAGGTAGTCATATATACATTACTTACAATTACGCTTCTTGCTCTAGAGAAGTGGAACACTTTTTTCTGGTACATACTATATTTTGTAGTATTAGGAATCCATACGCTCAGTACCCTCTGCTCTCTTGGCATGACTTTCAGCACTTGAAGCACCTGTACTGAATAATAGGAGTTCAGGCCCTCTTGCTGACCCATGACCTAAGGGACGGAAGTGTGACATTCCAGCGTTTGAGGGCCTGGTTGACCCTACCTCTTGCGAGCCCAGTGCATGGCAAAGTACTGCTGTCTATGGGACATGGTTCCTACAATCGAAAGCCCTTGATAAGGTATCGGCTGTACCAACTTTGCTTCTGCTTTGCTGGCCATGTCCTCTTATCCACGAAATCGGACGATGCTGCCTGCTCCAACTGTTCTTGTCCTGCGTATTCCCTCGAGCGGATCCCGGACATCATTCCCGAGCACACGACACCGTGTCTCATCTCTGGCTATTCTATGGTACATCTTGGTCAGTTGTCTATGTATTCCAAACGGGTTAGTGCAAGCCCAGCACTGTTCTTGTCGAGAATGTCGGGTGTCACGCTCCATGTCTGTTTATGGCAACTAGTGACTGTCTTCCTGGGTCCCCCGCGCCAGGAGCCGTCGGAACCTACGGCTATCGTACATGTATAAGACCAGCTGCTAGCATGTAGGCGCATCTCCATTGAACCCCATGGAGTACACACTCGTGTCAAAGATGTTCACCAACCCAAACGGTATCGAGGTTCTGCTGCCGGCTCCCGTGGAACCCAAGAGCGAACTGCTATTCAATGCAGGAGTCTATGACGGCGCAGTTCCTTTCAAGGAAACGAACGCTGGATGGCACGGATACATCCCCTGGACTGATCATCCTCAGTGGAAACAGCTGGCGAAGGAGATCTTGGACGGTGCGCAGCAGCAGGCTATCGAGTCGCCGTTCAAGCCGGGCCAGGCAGCGTATGACGATCAGACCACAAAGCTTAGAGTTACTGGCGGAATTGTGGGAACCAGATTCTCCGAGTACTTCATGCGCCTTGGAGCAGTGCTGTACAACTGGCCTGCGGAGAGCTGGGAGACGATCAAGAAGGATAAGGACAGGGTATGAGTATTATCCTACTGCGCTTTGGTCGCCGTTTGATGTCTCGCAGAGCATGCTTCATGTACTTTCCTTCCCTTACAATGGTGAAGCAACAAAGGACGATATCGTCAAACATGTCATCACTCCTGTATTATCCTTTTCGTTTATGAACACGCGCATAACACTAAAATAATCGCAACAGAACCCTCTTCACTTTGTCCGTAATCACGGCAACATCCCTATTATCGATGCCAACACATGGCTGCTCGAGGTAAGCACCGGTTATTCCTAAGCTCTGATCACACGCTCACGGAGCTTTTAGCTCGGTGGTCTTGTGAATCAACCAAAGAGTATCAAGTTCGACCAGCTCAAGTCTGGATTCCCGTGAGCAGCCTGTTCTGCGTCCATCCACTTCACCGAGCTCATCAGGGCTGTAGGACCAAGACGGTCACTGCCACGCTCGTCTGCTCGGGTACTCGGAGGAAGGAGCAACAGATGGAAGCACTGGGAGAGTTCGACGAGCTCATCAACGGCACGTCTTCATCATTTTCCGCTGAGCGGAAATCCCTCTCTAACCAATTCTGTACCACAGCTCCCTGGACCGAGCAGGCGCTGGGTACCGCCCGCTGGACAGGCGTCACCTTGAAGACGCTGGTCGACTACTGCGGCGGGCTGAGGGACGAGGCGACTGATATCGAGTTCTACGGTGCAGACACCTACTTTAAGCGGAACAAGCCTGATAATTATATCGTCTCCATCCCTATCCGGAAGATGGAGGATACCATCATCGCTTTCGAGATGAATGGAGAGCTTCTCACGCCTACAGTGCGTTTTGGCCCGTAATGGTTGTGCACAGGAGCTGACTAGAGGGCAGCATGGTGCTCCCGTTCGGGCAGTTGTGCCGGGGTACATCGGCGCACGGAGCGTCAAATGGCTCTATAGGATCAAAGCGCTTCCCCACCCCTCGCTCGCCCCCGTCCAATCAGAAGAATACCTCTACTTCACGCACCAAGTCCGCCGTCTTTCCCCCGCGCGCTGCCGCCAGTGTGCTGACCCTGCAGATGGGAAAACATAATTTCAGATGGTCGGATGGGTTCCAGATTGGCGGAATGCCAATCTCGAGCGCGATCATGTCCCCCAAGAACGGGGAAGTAGTGTACCATAACGGCAAGGTGCGTCCTCCCCCTCCCCCTCCCCCTCCCCCTCCCCATCCTCCGGCTCTCAAATCTCACCAACTCCAACTCCCGCTATACACGGCAGGTCAAAGTCACCGGCTGGGCCTACACAGGCGGCACATCCAACTGGGTAGAGCGAGTCGAAGTCTCCCCCAACGGAGGCTCAGACTGGTACCCCGTCTCCACAGCCCAGCTCTCCCAGAAGTTCTGGTGGGCATGGAGGTTGTTCGCCGTGGAGGTGCCTACGCCTGCGCAGGGGTATTTGGACTTTACGGTCAGGGCTTGGGATGGGAATATGAATACTCAGCCGACGTTGGTGTGCGTACTAGTTCTTTTGGTTCGCTGTGGGTGCGGGTGACGTGGGGTGCTCATATGCACTTGTATGTAGGAGGGATGGGTGGAACTGGGACACGCACGTGACGAATTCGTGCCATCATATCCAGTGCGTTCCTTGGTTCCCATCTCCATCCCCCGTGGAGCTCCAGCTACCTACTAACAGCATCACCAGGATCTACTCCGTCAACCTCTCCGACCCGCAGACAGCGCTGCGTCTCGCCCAGCTGCACAAACACGGGCTTGCCTTCGAGCCGGTGCATAAGCCGCTCGAGATGGAGTTGGAGGACGAAGTCGAGTATTTGAACAGGATTAGGGAGGGGAGTATTAGGCGTGACCCCGTGGAGTAGGAGTAGGAGTAGGGCGCTTGTCCGGCGGTGGGGAAGGGGATGGGAAACGTTCCTGTCTTTTGAGTTTCTGGTACTGGATTGGAATTTGGTCGTATATGCACATACAAGGGCAGAGAAATAAGAGTCCAGTCCTCGAGTCCTCAGTCCATTAGAACAAAACTAGAACTAGTTAGCTGCCTGCTCATCCCCCCCGCGGTCAGGGATCAACGCCATGAGGGATCAACGCCATGACCGCATCCCTACCAAACACCTGCGTAGCCACACCTCTCATCTTTCCCCAAGGCAGTTCCTCCCCAGCCCCTCCCGCACCCCCTGCGACCCCTCCCGTGCCCGTGCCTAGTGGGGACTCTCTCACAAACCCGATACCTGCTGGACCGACAAGGATAGGCGCGACGGTGACGATGAGGAGGTCTATGAGGCCTGAGGCAAGGAAGGAGGTTATAACGCGTTGTCCGCCTTCTACCATTAGGCTTTGAATGCCTTTTGAGTAGAGGAGGTCCAGAACCGCTGGGAGGGAGAGGTGGCCGTCTAGCGTAGGGATGAGCGAGGTATATGCTAATATGCGGCTAAGCTCACCGGCTAATAAAGGCACCTCGAACACCTCCGCCCCTAGCTCGCTGAGCGCCGCCTTCCTCCCCTTGAGTTCCGGGTGTGCCGGGTCCGGGAGTTCGAGAGCAGCGCAGATAATCCAGGGCTGGACGGCGCCTTGTGCGAGGTTGGTGAGGAGGCGGGAGTGGGAGGGGAGGCGGAGGTGGGGGTCGAGGATTACTGGACGGGGGGAGGGCCAGGAGGGAAGTGCGGGGGATGGGCTGGGGTTGGTTGGAGTGGGGGTGGAGAGGGGTGAGGGTGAGGTTGAGATGGTGGAGGTGGGAGTGGAGGGAGGGAGGAGGCGGACGTTCAGCTGGGGGTCGTCGACCAGTACAGTCCCTACGCCCACAAGGATGGCATCATGTCTCGCTCTCATCCTTCCAAAGCCAAGCCAACGTCAGTCATCACACGTCTCACATAGCGAACCAAAAGGGAAGAACGTACAGATGAGTAAGGACCAAGCTTTCCTTCCCGCTGAGAGAGAGCGGACGTCCGCGGAGTGCGATCTTGCTGTCGAGACTCTGGGCATAAGTGAGGGTTAGGAACGGTTTTGAGGGGTTTGAGCTGGGGTTTGTGGGTGTTGATGATGGAGGAGGGAGGAGGGGGTCGAGGAATGATTGGGCTTGTTGTAGGAGGGAAGGGGAGGACAAGGAGGACATTGTGACTGAGGTGGATTGGAGTGGATTGGAGTGGATTGGGGTTGTTTGAGAGGAGAGGCAGATGTATGCGCCTCCAAATGATAGGGACAGGGACCGACAGACGTCACCCAGAAGCGTCACATGACCCCTACCAATCAATCATGTGAAAAACCGGACAAGCGGAACCGAGTTCCAGCACTGCCACTCTGTTCTCCGAGGGTCGTCCGATGTTTGGGCTCCGGTCTGGCCCGCAGCGGGAGGCTGACGGAAAGCGGTTTACGAGTGTTAACTTTGGTTCGAGTGCGATGTTTTTTAGTGGGAGGAGGGAGAGGATGTGAAGGGATGATGGGACAACGCAAGGGGAAGGTGAAACAATCCGGTGTCTTGCCCGCTGCTTTCAATTCCCCATTATTGGGAGAGAGAAGAGTAACCACGCCGGAGCCGCTGACGCTCCTCGTATCAGTCCGCGCCGGTACTCAATTTCTACGTCTTACTGACGTCTGGCTGGGGCGCGTACTATACATGTTTCGGCCTCCTCTGAACGTGATTCCCCCTCTTCACTCTATTCCGCGGTGGTTGGGACACACTGATGAACACGCCGTGGATGTCCTTACAGGGGCAGGAGATGGGCGAGCGTCAGCAACGTTGAGCATTTGAGGAGAGAGAGAGGAGAATATTAAAGTGATCCTCGTTTGATAATCAATCGATCTTGTGATCTATGTAGGTCAAACACTCCCTTGTCACCCTACAACGGGTTTTTCACACTCGCTGAGACTAAAAACAAGCCGGGATGGATACCGGAAGGCTCGGCGTGCTGTGCTTACGTCTGCGCAGGCCGCTAACCTGTTCCTCCCTTTCCTCCCGCAGGAGGACGCACATATACCCCCCCCCCCCCCCGAGCATGTTTATTTCTCAAAGGAAACCCCCCAAAATACTCTAAACTATCAGAAGAAACTAAGAGTGCCAGCACTGGGGATCAACTCTAGTCCCTCGTGTTCTCCTGTGTCTTGGGTATAAGGAACGTTTAACTTTGGGTTATTCACTGTCGACCACCCGCGACTGGGTATCCTGTATCCGACATCCGCTGCGTGGGAAAGGGCATCATGCGCCCCTAGAAGGACGACGTACAACCTTGCAACCAACTTCTACGCATACACGACACCACATAAACAGCACTTTGGTGGGCTGTCATTTCACACCTTTCACTCACGAGCACGATGAACGTCGCCCAGTCTGCACATCTTTCTGCTGCGGCGGTAGTGACTGCAACGGCAATAAGACGCCCTCTCTCAATCTACTTTGCAACCCTTGTCATCTCCCTCTCTGGGCTCATACTCGTACGCACCCCTTACCCTTGACTCCTAACTGAACGCTCACACCCACGCAGAGCATCTTCTGCCTCGCAGCTGTCACTCGCCCTCCCCCATCCCGCCGGCTCTCCCTCCCCCTCCCCGCACGCCCACCACATCAGCACCCAACGACCCCCCGCCGTCTAACAGCACACCGCGCCTCCTCCTCACCAGAGCTCAACCGCCCCTCCCCCCAATTCCCAGATCCCCCCCGCCCGGCGCGCAGCCGCACCCGACGCCTACTCACCACTCCCACTCCCTTCCTCCCGCCACTTCCAAGCCCCAAACAGGTCAGGAAAGCCGTCGAAGGCCCTTGTCGCCTGCTAGGGGGAAGAGCGCTCACTACCGCTACGGGCAGAGCACTCTTTTTGCGCGATGCGTTGGATGCGAATATGCGTGAGGTGAGGGCTAGGCGGCGCGCACGGGGACAAGGGCAAGGGGGGAGGGAGAGCTTGTCGAGCTACGCGAGCTCTTGTGAGAGCCTTTCCGCTGCGGAGCCCTCTGAGGCTGAGGAGGTGAAGGAAGAGACGGACGAGGAGCGGACGCCCCACCCGCTTATCAGGACGGGGACGGGGACGGGCGTGCGGGGGATTGGGCTCGCTCTGGGCCAAGGGACGCTGTCGCCTCAGGAGGAGAAGGAGTGGGAGGATACGGACCCTACACCACGGAGTTCTCCCGTGAGGAGGAGGTCGTTGATCCCCTCTCTGCCTCTACCTACCCCGGTGCCGACGCCGACGCCGCAGGTGCAGCCACAGGGGCAGGGGCAGGGTACACCAGTGAAGGAGAAAAAACACTTCTGGCTCAGGAGAAGCAGTACGATCTCCTCCCTCCCCCTCCCCCTCCCCCTTCCCCCTGGGCTAGCGCACCCGAGTCCTCTCTCGCAGATTTGTCTGCCCGAAGCACAGCCCGAACCCGAACCGGAAAAGGGGAACCGGCGCCCGCTGTCGACCTCCGAGATGAAGGAAGGAGAGGGGAAGAGACGCTCGAGTGGAGGGAGCGATGCCAGTTTGGGCTCGGTGAGCGGGAAGAGCGAGAGCGCTCGTAGTTCCGCCAGTGGGGGGAGCAGGGGAAGTACAAGCACAGGGCGGACAGCTCCTCCTCCTTACACCCCTGCTCCTGCTCCCGCGCCCGCTCCTGCACCTGCGCCTACACTAGCGAAGCACGCTCGTTCTCGCACATCTTTGGGCAGCCCTGTACCCCCTCCGCCTCAGCTTAAGCCCCGCCCGACATCGGTGATCGACCTCTCTCGCAGCCGGACGAGGGCTAGCGAGCCTTTGCCTGGCGAGGCCGAGCGGGAATGGGAGAAGAAGAAAGGGAGTGGGTTTAAGCATCGGATTTCTGGGATCTTTGGGCATTCTCCTTCCCTTTCCCGTTCGCACGGGCACGGGCACGGCCTGGCCGCTCTGGACGGTTTACCCCCCAGTATCAGCGAGAGTGGGTTACCAGAAAGTCAGAGTACTCCGGAGATCAAGCCGCGTGCAGCGAAGGAGAAAGCCGGGGTAGAACGGGTCGGGAGGCACGAATGGATGCAGCGGGTGGAGAGGGAGAGTTGGCGGGTTTCTTACACTTCTCGGGAGGAGCTGGAGTCTGGTATGAATGATAAGGAGAAAGAGAAGGAGAAGGAGAAGGGGAAGGAGAAGGGGATAAGGGGGGAGAAGAGGATGGAGCGGAGCCCTAGCAGGTGGAGATTGAGTAAAGTTACTGTTTGAGAGCTTTTTGGGCATATGCATCGCTGTGCTCACATCCACACGGACACGGTCTTTTCGACGTACTGTAGCGACTTAGTGTCTTGCTGTTTTACTGTATGATTAGGATGTATTGCATTGCTTGCATAAACATTTCTTATAGTAGTTTACATTAGGTTGTTGTTGACAATAGAATCACCAGACAAGAACCAGCTCTGCCCCTCAACACTTTCACGAGCGCCTGTGACTATGTGCGTGTTACGTCATGCGCCGTCCTTGTACTGCCCGCCTCTTGCACCGTTGCCCTGGACCACACCAATGTCGACAACAGAGCTCAAAGTGCTTACTCTCAACTGCTGGTACATCTCTCTCACTATTCAGCAGTGCAGAGCTAACCAGCTAGTAGGGGGCTCAAATGGCTCTCCACAGATATAGAGCCTCGGATACACGGCATTGCCGAGTTCATCGCCGCCCAGAACTACGACATCGTCGCCTTTCAGGAACTGTGGCAGCACGTGCACTATGATCATATGCGGACGAGACTGGCAAAGTCTCTCCCTTACGGGCAGATGTTCTTCGGGTACGCTCTCCCCTCTTGTCATTGTCCTTGGATTCGGTGCTCACCGGGGTGCTGTGCTGGGCGGGGGTAGAGGCGCACTAGGAGCAGGACTGGCCATCTTCTCCAAATACCCTATTGTCGAGTCCTTCACTCGCTCGTACCCGCTGAACGGCTCCCCGCTCGCTGTAGCTGCTGGGGACTGGTTTGTCGGCAAAGCGGTCGGAAGCGTCGTACTTTCCCATCCTACGCTAGGGGAGGTAGAGGTGTTCACTACCCATGTGCGTGCTGCGTCGTTCGTCCTACGAAGGAGAAGGGGCTGATAAACCACCCCCAACCCCGTAGATGTATGCCAGTGGAGGGGAGGACGGGCCGGAGGACAAGAGAGCGCATAGGATTGTGCAGAGCTGGGTGCTTGCAAACCTCCTGCGAGCGAGCGCAGGCGGCCGGGGGAGGCATGTCCTACTCGTGCGTCCCCGCTGCTCCCACCCGCTAAGGCGCTAACCCCGCTTGGTGCAGACCGGAGACCTGAACAGCGTCCCCACCGCGCTGTCTATCAACCTTCTCTCATCTCATGCCGGGCTCACGGACGCGTTCGTCCACACCCACCCTCAGGCCGGGGCTTCCAACCTGCACCAAACGCCCTACTCGCTACAATCTGCCGAGCTCGCTATCCGCGATTTGGGGATCACGGCTGACTCCCCGCTGAACACCTATTCTGCTAAGAAGAAACTGGACGCCTCTGCCCGCCGCTGGCAGGGGAAACGGCTGGACTACATCTATTATCGCAGCGAGCGGATGAGCTGCGTGGCGAGCCAGGTGGTCCTGACTGATAAAGTCCCGGGATTCGATTTCTCGTACTCAGACCACTTTGGGCTAGAAGCGACGTTTGCTCTCCTCCCTTCCCCTGCTCCGGATGTTCCAAACCCGCCAGTCCAGCCGCTCACGGCACGCACCCTCTCCCAAGCACTGCAGGCGCTGTCCACGTTCTACCGCCAATCTCGCTCCACCGCCCGCATGTACATGACCGGGTTCAATGGGTGCATCCTCGCCCTCCTCGCCCTGATCATAGGGAGCGCTTTCCAGCCCAACAGGCGGGTCAACCCCCTGCTCGTCATTCTCGCATCGGCATTCACGTGGGGGGGTACGACCCTCCTCTACGCCGGGTTCGTATATGGCAAATGGGAACAGAGGGCGTTGATGACGGTTATTGAGGAGATGGAGCTGGAGATGCGGAGAGTGGAGGGAGGGGGTAGGGGGAGCGTTGTGAGCCCGAGCGAGAACAGTCAGGAGAGTGGGGAACCGTTGATCAGGAACGGGGCGGGGGCGGCGGTATAGCGGTTTGGACAATGATTGGTGTAATGAGATTTGTACAACTTCTTTTATCGTTCGTGCCGCTTGATGGGAGTATTAGACGTCTGTGGCTGGAGGGAAGACGCCGCACAGGCGCAGGGTGGGAACGTTGTCCGTGTCGATCACCCATTGTTCCCACTTTGTATCTATCACTGGACTAAGACCAGGACGGCCGCATCGCACCCATCCGGGACGAGAAATCAGAAACTAAAACTCAATAAATGGAACCCACTGCAATTCGCGCCGCGTTCGCCTACCTGGACAGCGTCAAGCGCACCTATGCTAACGATCCCCAGGTGTATGACCGGTTCCTAGCGCTGATGGGCTTGTTCAAAGACAGGCAGTGCGTACCCTCTTCCCTCCTCCCTCCTCCCTCCTCCCTCCTCCCTCCTCCCTCCTCCCTCCTCCCTCCTCCCTCCTCCCTCCTCCCTCCTCCCTCCTCCCTCCTCCCTCCTCCCTTCCTCTTTCCCCGTAGAAGTTCAAGGAGACGAGCTGACACGTGCGTGCGTAGGCTGGATATGGAGGGGGTTGTTGACGCTGTTGTTCAAGGAGAGAAAACAGCTGTTGATTGGGTTTGAGAGGTTTTTGCCTAGTGGGTGGGGGATGCGTGGGCCTGCTTCTGAGGGGAACAAGGCGAGGTTGTGATGCTTTTGGGGGGAAGGAGCTATTGGCGTGGGAGGGGCGAGGCTGGTGCTGGGAAGGATCTACTATTTACGCATATGCTGTGGGCTCTGTTTACTGAGGCCAGGCTGAGAGAATATGCCTTTTGTAATTGGTTCTGGAAGGTGTGATTGGGAAGACAGTGGAAGAAAACATCAGAATCGGAATAGGATATTGAATACTACGCCCATTATGCGTCAGATGGCGAAAATGAGCTGGGATACTTGTATAGGGGGTAATATTAATGGAGGATGACAATCGATAATCTTTGGACAATGATTGATATGATGACGATGAGATCGAGATAGACCGGAGCCGTACCCCCGTATGGCCGTGAATATGTGGCGCTGATGGAAGCAAAAAATGAATATGTTCAGCGGGGGTAAATCTGAGTCCGATTCGAGTGAGGCCAGATGAGGGTCCAAGGTTTGTGTAAGGAGCGAAGAGAGGTAAGAGGCGGCAACTGTAGGCTCACTTCTGTTCTCTGTCCTTGTGCACTTGCCCTTCTCTTCCACGCTTTCGCCTCAAGTTACTCTTCACCTCGTGCATCTTTCCCAATTCTGTCTTCTTCCACTGTGCAGGGTACAAGTTATCTACACTTACCTTGACCGGGAAGTGCCGAGAGTTCAAGGGGTGAAAATATGGAGACGGATCAGGCTCACGTTGGAGGCGGCGTGGGTGCAGGCGCGCCTTCTCATCAACTCGCTTCTGAACAGCAACACACTCAACAGCAACAACAACAACAACAGACACCCGCTCCTCTTCCTCAACCATCTTCATTCCTCAATCAACGTATACTTGACACTCCTACTTCTCCATCAAAACAGTCTATTGCGCGTCAACAGGATCCCCCAGTCGCCCCTCTCCCTCCTACCACCGCCACTCCTCGTCCACCAGATCCTTCCCCCGTTCCAACAGCATCAGGCGCACCGATGATGGGCCCTCCTCTCCCTCCCTTGGGGGGGTCAATCCATCCTCCCCCTCCGCCATCTCAGCCTCAGCTCCAGCAACTGCCACCTCAACCACCCCTTCCCCCGCCGGTATGGAGCCATACACCGGGATTGGGTCCTCCGCCTTTGCCACCACTCGGGAATTCACTTCATCAGCCGCTGCCTCCTCCTGTGGACCGCGAGCGCGAGAGGGAGCGGGAACGTGAACGCGAACGCGAAAGAGACAGGGAGAGGGACAGAGAAAGAGAGAGAGACAGGGACCGGGACCGCATGCAGTTGGACGGACCCCCGAGGAGAGACGAACCGCCGCCCCAACTCCCCGGTATCTCATCCTTCGGCGCAGGACCTCTCACTCCCCAACCTCTCGGACCTCCTCCCCCGCATCATCAACTGCATCACCCCCTCCCTCCTCCGAGCCATTTTGGCCCGCCTGGTCCCCCAGGCCCTCCTAGCCAAATGCACTTGGAGGACATCTCCGGACTCCCGCAGCCTCAGAACGAGCAGGAGCAGGAAGGAAGAAGCCTCAACGTCAAGGATGCGTTGACCTATCTCGATCAGGTCAAGAACGAGTTTACAGACCGGGCAGACGTGTACAACTTATTCCTGGATATTATGAAGGATTTCAAGAGCCAGTCGTGAGTCATCCGTCGTCAGGAAGGGGTATGTATGCGCAATTCTGATGCTTTGTGGATAGGATCGACACTCCCCGCGTTATTGAGCGTGTGTCCCAGCTGTTTGCAGGGCATAATCAGCTCATTCAGGGGTTTAACACTTTCCTCCCTCCGGGGTATAGGATCGAGACGATGGTGGATCCATCCGATCCGGACAAGATCCTCGTCACGACCCCATCGGGGACGTCGGCGCAGCATATTCCACATAATAATTCGCGTCTTCCTCCTGCCGGGGGTGCTTATGGACCTCCTGTGCCTCCTCCAAGCGGGCTACTTCCTCCTCCAGGACAGGGGTACACGGGCGTTCTCCCCCCGCTCGCACCTCCCCAGCCACAGGGAGGCCACTACGCCCCTCCTCAGCTGGGCCAGTTCCCTTCCCCTCAACCGATGCTCCCTCCCACAGGGTCGGTGCACCACCCACACACCGTGCCTTTAGGGCATCATGCTCCCGCACACTTCTCCTCAGCGCCCCACACGCCCGTGCCTCTCCTCCCTCCCGGCTCTAGCTCCGGCCACTATACCCCCGGCGGGACGGCCATTGCCCCCGGCGCGGAAGTGCCTATCAACCATGCGATGAACTTTGTAAACGAGATCAAGATCCGCTTCTCGCACGAACCAGACAAGTACAAGTCCTTCCTCGACATACTGCAGACGTACCAGCAACGCGCGCGTCCGATCGCCGAAGTCTTCCAGCAGGTCAACGAGCTCTTCGAAGGGCAGGAAGACCTCATCCAGGAATTTCAAGAGTTCTTGCCTGATAAAGGCCGGTATGGGTTCGAGGCGCTCGCTGGGGAGGGAGCGAGCCAGTTGGCGAGTATCAATGCCCCTGCGGCTGCGGATGGGCTGAGGACGGGAGAAGGGAGCTTGGGCACTGTTGCTGGTGCCAGGGAGAGGGAGAGGGAGAGCAGGCGCGAGCGAGAAGAGAGGGAGAAACGCCAGCGGGAGAAAGACCAGAAACAGCAGAGGAAAAAGAGGCCCGCTGCGCCCGAACCGCCTGCTCCTCAGACTTCCCGTTCTGCGCAAGGGAGAAGCCAGCCCGGCCCAGCGAGCAAGAAGGCGAAGACGAGCCATGGGAAGGCTGAGAGTCCCGCTCCTTCCTTACAGCAGGACAGACGCTCCCACGCGGCACATCATCATCTCAACCACGCACCCCCTGCTGCCCCGGCGGCCGCTCCTGTCCCTGCTCAAGCTGCCCAGCCTGCCCCTGCCCCTATCCAGCCCGTAAGACAGAACCCGGTCGCGTACTTCGACCGCCTGAAAAAGCATATCAACAACAACGCCGTCTATGCCGAGCTCCTAAAGCTACTCAACCTCTACACGCAGAGGATGTTCGACATGCGCGTGCTCGTCCAGCGCGCCCGACCGTTCTTCCACGACCCGGGCAGCCTGCAGTTCTGGACGGATTTCCTCGAGGTCTTGGAGTTGAGCGAGAGGGACGCAGAGGGGTTTCTCAGCGGGAGGGCGAATGCTGCTCCTGACGCGGAGATCGTAGGCCGGGACGGGGAGAAACTGATCCATCCGCTCGAGAGGCCGAGGCTGAATATCGATCAGCTGAAACCGCATGGACCGAGTTATCGCAAGCTGCCCAAGAGCGTGAGTGTTTGGCCATAGTTGACGAGATGCGTGCTGATGGATTTCGTAGGAGATCAACTTGGAGTGCAGTGGGCGGGACGCGCTCTGCTGGGAAGTACTGAACGATCAGTGGATTTCGCACCCTACTTGGGCGTCGGAGGAAGCTGGGTTCAGCGCGCACAAGAAGAACTCGTTCGAGGAGGCCATGCATCGGTCTGAAGAAGAGAGGCACGAATTCGACTTCCATGTCGAGGCTAATATCCGGACTATCTCGATGCTTGAACCTATCAACCAGCGGATCCTGACGATGGACCAGGATGAGAAGTCCAAATTGCGCTTGCCGCCGGGCTTGGGAGGACAGAGTAAAGGCATCTATGCGCGGATTATCAAGAAAGTCTATCCGGACACACATGCAGAGGTCATGCAAGCTCTTCAGGAGAGTCCGGCCATCGCCGTCCCCGTCGTGCTTGCTAGGCTGAAGCAGAAAGATGAAGAATGGCGCAAGGCGCAGCGCGAGTGGAACAAGGTGTGGCGCGAGGTGGAGGCTAGGAACTTTTATAAGAGCTTGGACCATATGAGCGCAACGTTTAAGGCTGAGGACAAGAAACGCTTTAACCCTAAGCGAGTGCAGGAGGAGATCGAGGTTATCAAGGCTGAGCAGGAGGCGAAGATGGCCCGGGATTCTCTTGGGGAGGGGGCTGCGCCTGTCTCGACGGGGAATGGGAATGGCAGCGCCAACGGGAATGGGAACGGGAATGGGAACGGGATCGTATTGGGCGTGCCTGGTAAATGGCAGTTCGAGCATACGATGGACGACCCTTCGATCTTACGGGACGTCGCCCACCTCGTATTCTCGTTCATGGACCGCGGTTCGGGCAGCTTGTCGTACAGCGAGCGTACGCGTGCTGAGCGGCTGTTGCGTACCTGGCTGCCCAAGGTCTACGGGCTGGACGCGGAGGAGTTCTGGAAGGGATACCCTGCGCTGCCGGAGGAGAGCGAGGATGAGGAGGAGCAGGAAGCGGAGGATGGCACTCCTGCTAATTTAGCGCCTTCTCATGCTACTCGGGCGAACGGCCATGTCAGGCGATCTCATCACGCTGGTGCGTCTGGGAGTAGGAAGAAGAAGGCCAGCAGGGCTGCGAGGGCACATCAAGCCCAGACACGAGAGGGCACTGTCATGAGCGAACAGCTTGATATTGCTGGTACCTCTACTCCCGAGCCTGGCCCGAGCGTGGATGGGGATGTCGAGATGGCGCCTGTACCTGAGCCTGCATTGCCTGTTCCCACCCCTGTTGCTCGGCCAGGGCCGGCGGTAATCACACCACCTCCGGAACCACGGAGCCTCGCTGATGCTACCAAGCCGTGGATCGATATCGTCCATCGGGAGGATGGATATGAAGCGATGGATCGGCAGCTCAGCAGTGGTGACCAACCCGAGGAGATGAGCTCGATGAGGGACGAACCTGTCCCAGCTCGCCAGGCTGGGAATAGGCCTGTGGAGCTGGATGGTGTCATGCATGAGGATGTGGATATGGATGCGGAGAACAAGCCGGCTGTGAATGGTGCACCTGCTCGCGGGGAGCAAAATATCGTACCGCTCAAGGTGCCCGATCATGCTAGAACACCGTATTCCAAGAGAGTGTTCTTTGCGAACACCACATATTACGTGTTGTATCGATTTGTCGAGGTGAGTGCAGCCGAGTCCGACTGAAGTATGTGAACTGACACTTTGTAGATCATGTACGATCGACTTCACGGGCTTAAGTATTACGACTCTCCTATCTGGAACGAGAGGCCGAACCCGCTGGCGATGGAGCTCGGTCTGCTGGAGGACACGAAGAACATCGATTCTGCGCCTAGCGACAAGACGACCGTATCTGCCGAGGCGTTGTACAAGCATTTGCTGAACCAGCTGGAGCTTTTCTTAGAGGGCAAGCTGGAGGAGAACAACCTTGTGGATATCGCCCGGAACCTGTACGGCACCGCTGCTTATGTTGTCGTTTCCTTCCATTCTGCATTGTCCCACATCTCACGGCTGGCTAAGAATGCGGCCGAAGAGGACGCGTCTAAGGACCTGTTAGTCCTGTTCAACGCGGACGAAGCGCGTCAGGCTGCGATCAAAGAGCCTTCCTTACCGGGCAGCGAAGGGATGCGTGCGGATCTGCGCGCGCAGATCGTCTACCGGCGAGAGGCGGAGAAGAAGATCGCCGAGGACAAACAGCTGTATCGGCTAGAGTGGGAAGCGGGTTCGGGGACGAAGGATTCGATGCGGGTCGCCCTTTTGAGAAAAGAGGACCCGAGCGGGGAAGAGCCTGACGGGGTGAGGGAGAAATGGAGAGTGTACATTGACAGCTATTCTATTGTGAGTATTTCCCCTTCTTGGTCTTCCTTCTCCTGAATTATGTACAGAACGCCCCGACCGAGAACCTGCCCAAGTCCAAGCCAGCTCTGTCCTTCCTGCCCAAGCTCCTCCCCCCGCACGCGGAGGAGATCCGCCGACTGCCAGGGGTCGAGTATTCTTCAGCGCTGCAGATCCGGGTCTGTGTACGCACGTACAAGCTCTTCTTCGTCGCCGGATCAGAGGAGTGGATCGTGCTCCGCCGAACGGCTGGGGAAGTCCACAAGCTGGAGAAGAGGAGAGAGGAGAGGAGGGAGAGAGGGAGGGAGAGGATGAATACTTGGGTTGAGGGGACGTTGAGACGTACCCGGGGGTGAGCAGTGGATGGACTATAACTAGTAACTAGGTTCCTTTTTTCTCTTTTGCTTATGTGAGTATCATATCCTTACGTACGAACATCACTGTATCATCCGAATATCGACCGCTTGTCCTGATGGGGGAATAACACATGAACATACACGTGGAGGGGGATTTGTCAGGTGGCTCAACCTGCATTCCCCTGAGTGTTCATCAGACCCTTACAGACTCACTTGACATGAGATGTACGGATAAGGCAAGACATGCAATCATTAGAGTCATTAGCAATTAAGTTCTAGAGTTCGGCAGGAGATCCCGGTTCACGTACTTGCGGGGAGGGCGCGTGATAGATTTCCCTTTTTGCGGTTAGGTATGTTGCTCTGTGTGGGGTGATACGGGGACGGTCTATTGAGGCTGGTCAGGTTGACGATGTGTTGAGGGGGTAATTATGGCTTAGTTACGACAGGAGGCAGGGGGGTGTTGATTGTCAGTACAGGGGCGGTGCCGAGTGATGGATCGGCGGTCGACTGGATGTGTGTCTTGGTGGTTGGGTGTGCGGAGGGGTTGCGTGGGGTTGCGTGGTGAGCGCCCTTTTCTCCACCTGTTACCACCACCCCTTTCCCCCAACTTCCCCACCGGGCCGACGATGCGATGATGCCCCAACAGAATGATCACAGCAGAACATCTTCTCCTGTTCATCTCTTTCCTTCTACTCCTAATACTCCTATCCCTTTACACCGCACCACCATCTACAACTTATTACCTTTGAACACTACGGATGGACATTGGGAGACGATGTTAGCTTCTGCACTTGCTCTCCCTTGGCAGTTATGGCCTTCTTTTGCATTACACCACAAACCCAACGAGGACGGCAGTGTAGAGGGAGAGAAAGCAGTACTCCCAGACGCACAGCAAGAGCAGAAGCAAGATGGAAATGACAACCCAGAGAAACAGCTCAACGCAGCCAGCAAAGCACTTACCGACCTCATAACACGACTCGACCTCTACAGACCCGGTTCCCAACCACCTTCATCCCGTATCACCCCTTCCCACTCTCCCCTCCCAGGTCCAGAAGAGCTCCTTTCCCTCACAGGCCTGTGGAACTACGCCGGGTTCCTGAGCCAGAAAGCCGCTGATGTGGCGGGTGACGTTCTCCGGCATCAGCTCTGGGGGCCGAAGAAGAAGTCGTGGGGCGTGAGGATGACTGTGCTGAGCGCGTTTATGCGCGGGGTGGGGAAGTACAGTGCTCTAGGGAACTTGGCCCTCATTAGGCTTCTTATGTCGCTCCCTGCCTTCCTCCCACCTTCGAGCGAGGCGCTCATCACCCCCATCGCCTTCCGCGTCAAGAGACGAGGGCTGCGCGGCTTGCTAGCGGAATACGACGCGCAGGAGGATGGGAGGCGGGAGATCACGGCTGAGTGGGTGGTCAGCAAGGCTCTGTGGAGAAAGTTAAACACGGAATGGAAGCGCGAGCACCCCGATACCCGCCCTGGCTCACGCGAGTCTTCCCGCCAGCGTCAGCATCCACCCAGAGTAAAGGGAAGAGTCATCCTCTACCTCCATGGAGGCGCGTACTATGTGTTCAACGCTTCCACCCATCGGCCAATAACGATTCCCCTCTCGCACGCCTGTTCCGCACGCGTGTTCGCGATCAACTACCGGCTCGCGCCGGAGACACGCTTCCCTGGGCCGTTGCACGATGCTGTGAGCGCGTACCTGCGGCTTACGAGGGATATGGCCATCCCCCCCAGCTCCATCCTCCTCGCTGGGGACAGCGCTGGTGGCGGTCTGGCACTAGCACTCGCCCTCTACTTGAGGGATAACGCCTACCCCCTCCCGGCAGGGCTCATCCTCCTCTCCCCCTGGGTGGATCTGACAATGTCCTCCGACTCGTGGGACAGCAACGCGGCGTACGACATCGTCCCCGTCCCACCGCCCACCTCCCACCTCAACCCGGTCCTGAACTACCTCGGCCCTGGCCCAGCAGGGATAGGGACGTACCTGACCCACCCGTACGCTAGCCCGCTGTTCGGGGACCTCTCCCGCCTCCCGCCCTTGCTCGTCCAGTGCGGAGACGCCGAAGTGCTCCGGGACGAGTGTGCGCTGCTGGCGCACAAAGCTGCCAGAGCGGGCGTGACTGTCAAGCATGAGATGTATGAGGATGCGGTACATGTTTTCCAGATGCTGCAGTGGTTGCCCCAGACTGCTAAGGCCTGGGAGTGCGTGAGGGGGTTTGTGAGAGGGGAAGTGAGGGAGTATGCTAGGCGGATGAAGGGGGAGTGTGGGCTGGCTGCTGGGGCGGGTCCGGTAGTACCGGAGGAGCAGGAGACAGAAGCTTCTGTGCCGGCATTCGACGACCGACCACAACCCAGGGTACCGCCGAGCATACACCTGCCTACCCCTTCCCCCTCCCCTCCTTCCACCTCCCCTGCACGCCAAGTACAAGGCCAGACGCTCCCCCCCGCTTCGTCCCCCATCCCGTCGCTGGACGGGGAGACGATGTGCACTTTCCCCCAGTCGGTGGTCGTCGATTGCTTGGGGGAGGAGATCGTGAAGGGTAGGGAGGCTTGTGGGTTGGAGATGGAGAGGGATGAGGATGAGGAGGTGGAGGGGGAAGAAGGAGAAGCGGAGGGCGGGGAGGGAGAAGCAGAGATCGGGGAGGGAATATAAGGATGCAGAGAGGGAGATTGGAGATAACGTTTCATGGGGTAATGATATGTATCCATACATAACGAGTCTTGATCGGGGAGGCTGACAGAGAAGCGAAGCGGTAATTATGTACTTGTACATTTCTATTTGTAATTTATATCTTTTATACCATCAACTTATTTGACAAGTGCAATGATACGCTGTCGCTGTTTGGTATCTCAGCGATGAGTGTCTCATAACAGCGACTGCACGATTGTCTTGCTCGAGGAACATGAACATGGGGAGGAAGGATCATTCCTCACAGGCGTGGAAGACGTCGATCACTCCAATAGTCCTGCGGCCCCCTAGTACTTCTGGATCATCTTCCCTTCCTCTGACGACCAACAGACTGCTTCACTCACTCCATTACGACCTTACGCATACAGCGACTCACGATCCCTCACGACACGTACATCATACAACGATACGATACAACAGAATACAGCACAACACGCGCAGATACAGAAGCGATAATGCAGCTCTCTCTTTCCCTCTGTCTCATCCTCTTCGCCCTAGGCCTGCATACAATAGCCGCTCCACTCCCCGTATGTCCTCCCTCCCCCCCCATCCAATCCAATCCAATCCCAGGACACAGCTAGCCTAACCTCACCACAGGCAGCCAACCCCGGCCCAGCGCTCGCCGACCCTCCTACCACCCCATCAGCGTCAGGCGACCTATACTCCGACTTGCTAGGCACTGTCGCCCGCGTGACTGCTATTAACGAGCATGTCGAGAGTACCGAAGGAGCGCAGTACGACTCCTCGGTGAGGCATCTTCCGGTTGACGAAGGTGCTGTGCTGCCGGGAGGACTGGAGAGGAGGTCACCGGCGGGGAGGGGGAACGCGGGTCTGGTTCGTGTTGCTCTTTTTCTTGGTGTGGGAGATCTGAGCGCATATATTTAGCAAAAAGTGCTCGACTTCATTCAGCCGGATGAGGAGACCCCTCAACGGGCTGAAACAAACCGGGAGACGCAGATGCAGACGCAAATGCAGATGCAGATGGACGTTGATCGCTCCCCTGATATTCCCGGAGAAGGGGCGCTGCTGCTCACCGCTCTTCAGGCAGAGCTGGCAGGTCGGTACAAGCACACCGTCTTTTGGAAACAGTCAAAGTTGCCGCATGGGTGGTACAAGGTTGCGGCTGTCTGAGATGGAGGGTATAGGGCCGTAGGAAGACGACATGCGCTGTTATGCTCCATTGATGTTTCAGAGGGATCGACTACAGATGGCGGACATGAGGAGGTTTAATAGAGGTGATAGACACAGTTCCTTGATAGTCGGCAGCCCTAGGACCGGATCAAGCCAGACGTTCTTCTGATATGAACCTGGAAACGGAATGACCGAATGGGCAAGTTGTGAGAGAGCGCCTGAGGAGAAAACCAGGCTTCGTGAAGCAACATTTCCAGTGTCACGTGGTTAACGGCTGTCCTTGTGCAATTGTGTAGGTTGGACAGTTGACTTGTGCCGGACTAGAATAGTACTTCGCGGTGCCAGTCTCGGAGTAATAAGAGACGGCGCACACGAAGTATTCGGCTGCTGTCGGGTGGCAAACCGCTCGCGCCCATCGGATTCCTGAGCAGGAAGGTATCCGTTTGCGGGCGACACGTCCACCCGGGCCGGGCGCCCTGGTATCTGCACCAGGGGTGATACGGAGCTCAAGTCGTTGTCCATCGTCGACCTGTTGAGTGGAGCTTGGCGCACTGAGTATGACGTTTCGGTCCAGATCTCAACGCCTTGCCCCCCCCCCCGTCCCCGGTCCGTCTATA